GAAAATTATCCCATTCAGTTTCCAAAAAAGAAAATGTGGGTTTCTTCTTTTTGAAAACACAGCTTCTTTGAGTATCAATGACCTTTCTTTATGCTTTTGTCAGTACCGAGAAATTCTTACCCTCCCAATTTTGTTCTGTCTTTAGCCATAGTATCAGTTCTCAAATTTTGCTTAACGTAAAGATAATAGTACTCTACATAGCTAGAAAATGTAACTCTAGTTCTTTCCAATAATTCCCACCATATTTGATCATGTTGAATGCTTTCCCATATTTTGTGTATTGTGTTGTTACTTATCAAGCTTTGGAGAATACAGTCCATATATTCTAATAATAACAACAACAAAAAACATTTCTGACATTGGTGTAAACTTTACAAACTTTACATACAAAGGAAACAACTTTTTTTCCCTCTACAGTGTCACTTCAATTAACTACTTTTACTAACCATGATTATTTATTAGTGATTTGGTAGAGTATACCTTGAAATGTCACTTGTCTACTTTGATCTGATGCCAACTATATATAATTGCAGTATTAAATTCTAAGCTAGAGTATAGTTTAAATGCAAGGAAAATATAATTCACCATTATAGCTTTAAAAATGGTCCATATATTTGAAATACACATTCACATTAAGTGTTTTGGCGTAGAATTAAAATTAAAATCACCCTGCCTTAATAGCTTATCTAATAATTTTCAAATAGGCTTCCAGAGTTTACCATTCACAAGAAAATCTTAGCAACAAACTACTTTTTTCAAAAGGCAATTTGGCAATAGAATGGATAGGTTACTTGAGAACGTGAGACTAGGAAAATATTCAGGTAATAATGAGCTATTAACATTTTGTGTGTGTGTGTTGCTTTGCTTTTTTTTTTTTAACTGGTTACATTATCAGAAGAATATTGCTCAAAACATCATTTTGACTATAATGTATAAGATGTCTTGGGGAGGGTTGTCACTGTAGTTGAGACCAATGGCTACTGAAATAGTCCAGACTTGAGCACACAGAGAATTACACCTGAGTGATAGTGATGGGGATGAAAAATCAGAAATAGACTTATGAGATATTTAGAAGGAAGAATAAATAAGAACTGGCAAATTATTGGGTGGAGGGATGGGACAAGTCAAAGATTATTTTTAAGCTTAGGAAACTGGAAAAAAACAACACAATAAAAAGAAATTGAATTGTGAATTGCCTAGGGATATCCAGAGTTACCTAGTCTGGGGAGAAGAAGGAGGGGATAAGTAGAAAGAGATATAACAATTGTGAGGATTTGGCCAGTATCTCAAATAAAATATCCAGTAGTCAGATACAAGATTGACACTGCAATTCGTGATGACCATGGGCCTCTTGGGGACCAAGACTATTTGTCATTCTTGTTTGAGTTCTCCTGCACCTTGCACAGGGCTGTGCACATTGTTTACGCTCAGTAAGTTTGCCTGGCTGGCTGGCTGACTGACTGACTGCACAGAGATTCAGGGGCCAACTTCAACAAGAAAATAATTAAGTTGTGAGTGTGGACAAACACAACCTTCAAGGGTGGGGTACAAAGCAAGAAGCTGAGAGGGGGCCGGCCCTGGGGCCAAGTGGTTGAGTTCGTGAGCTCCACTTCGGCGGCCCAGGGTTTCACTGGTTTGGATCCTGGGTGTGGGCATGGCACAGCTCATCAGGCCATACTGAGGCAGCATCCCACATACCACAACCAGAGGGACCTAAAACTAGAATATACGACTACGTACTGGGGGGCATCGGGAAGAAGAATAAGATAAAAGATTGGCAACAGACATTAGCTCAGGTGCCAATCTTTAAAAAAAAAAAAAAGGACAAAGTCTTGAGGAATAAATATAATGAAGGAACTGGAAGAAAAAAGAAAACCAATAACAGAGACAGGGAAGGTCAGTCAGAGAATTAAACCAAGAGAGAGAAAGGGGAAGGGAAGGGACGGGAAGGAATAAACAAGAATGGAATCAGAGGAGCTGGGAAAGAAGAGATGCTACTTATTCATAATTTGAATGCATTTATATATATAGAATTAAATAGAGAATACATGGATGCAAAAATTACAGTCACATTTAGTGAGCAAAAATGAAAATCATTAAAATGTTTCCTTAATAACTTAAAGTAAATAAATTAATAGCTCCTGTCACATTGATTCATCTATTGCATGTGGGTACTCAATAAATGTTAATTGAATTAAATTAATAACATTTGCTCAATGGTAATAAAATATTAATTAACTGTCTGTCTTTTCTGTTACTTAAGTTTATGCCCATTGGTTCTGCAATTACCTCCAGCCCAAACATGAATTTTCTATTTCACTGATCTTCAAGATACACTTTAATTTTTTTCCTAAGAAATATAGTTGAGTTTCTAATTTTCGTCCTAATTTTGGTGGTTTTTTTCTGTTGAAAAAAATTATTTTCTCTAAGTTAATGTCAAGAACTATGTATAACATCCCAAATATAGTTTCACGAGTTCCTTATTTAATTCCAAAATAGTTTTCTCTGCAGAAGATGTGATTCCACTTTTCATGTGTTTCTCCTTTTAGCTTATGCTACTTTATAATACTTTGGGTACGATGTCAAATAACACCGCAAAAGAAAGAATCTGGGGAAATTATTGCTAGCATTCCATCTAAAAAAGATGGAAGATGTCAGCAACATTCACCCAAAAGTTGTGACTCACTTCAGATGTCAGAATTCTGGGTTGAACAGACTGGGTTCTGAAATGTGTGTATGTCAGATGATTTTCTAATGAGCAACAGATAGTTCCTACTGGGTAACGAAAAAAATAAAAATATAAACAGAGATATAGAATTAAAATAACTTTATGAATGGCAGCTTAACTTCTCCGTAAAATTCTCTCAGTACAAGCTCAGTGTCTCCAAATGGTTGCTTAATGTAGCATACCACTTACATTCAAAATGCTATACTTATAATTGTTGCAAAATTAAAAAGAGAATCATATACCACTTGGCTGTATACTGTATTCTCCGCATGTTCTTACATTCCAGTAACCTCTATCCAACTTTTTTTTTGTTACTGAATTACTTTGTGCAAAAGCAATTTAAATTACATGCAGCCTGACTACCTGTGATAATTTGAACTGATTGTTAATTAATTCTGTAAGTAAATAGCTGCTGCAATCTCTATACTCATCAAGGGTTCGTTATCTATCAGCTCTTTCTGAGCTGCTCTTTAATATACGGTATAAAACGGCTGCAACTGAACAGGCAGGGTTCCCCGAGTTCGCAAGAAGGTAGTCTTGCTTTGCAAAGACTGTTCAGAGAAAGACGCATCTGTAAAGCTGAGCTATTTGCAAGGCTCAATTTTGGTAGGTGACATATCATTGGATTTAGAGTGAAGAGCAGTTTGCTGATGAGCAGTCTCAGCAGCTAGGAAGCAGAGATAAAGCCAGGAACAAATCAGAGAAAATGTTGTATAATATAAAGGGACCAGGATAAGAGCAAAGCTTTTGGAATCCACTAGGCCTGGGTTCAAATCTCAGTTCTACCATTTCCTAATGAGGAAGTCTTGGGCAACTTATCTAAATAAACTATCTAAGCTTTGGTTACCATCATTCATCTGTTAACTGAAGATGCCAATTTATACATTTCCCATCTGTTCAAGGAGGCTGACAATATCTACCTCCTAGAGTCTTTGTAATGCTTAAATTAAATAAGGTACATAAGTGGTAACACGGAAATTGATAGAAAGTGCATGCAACTATGTGTGTGTGTGCGTGCGTGTGTGTGTAAAGGGGTTCTTTTAGTTTCAACCTGGGCGATTTTGCCCCATAGGGGAAATTTGGCAATATCTACAGACATTTTTGTTTGTCACCACCTAGGGTGATGGGCGCTACTTGTATCTCGTAGGTAGAGGACAGGGATGATGCTAAACATCCTACAATCTCCTCAAGACAAAGAATTATCTAGCCCAAAATATCAATACTGCTCTAAGTGTTCTAAGGCATAAATTGAATGGCTGTATGTGATATTAGCTGGTTACTGGACACTTCGATACACAAGTAAGAAAAATAAACTAATTATTATTTTTATCATCATCATCATTATATCATTAATTTGGTAAATCTCCCTTGGGTTACAGGAAGCCTAGAGTTTCCCAACTTGTTGAGCTAATTCTATCTACTCAATATTGTGTTAATTTCTATCAACAATAGATGCTTTCCTGAACCCCTATTTCTGCCAATCCTTTTTAGGGTGAGTCAAATCGTAGCTAAGAGATTGAAAGCCAGCAGCATAAGTGGCAGGGAACAAAAATTAAACATTGTAGAAAGCCAAAGCTGTTTGTAGGCTTAGAAGAGAATAAAAATGGCCTAAGACAATTGAGTATGCCATACTGTAGGCTCCTGTGCCCGTTTGGAGCCTTTGGAGAGTAATGATCTCATGAGTGGTTCCTGAAAATCACTGATGCACACAGCTCAGGGCCTGTTCTCTCTCCTTCCTCCACTTTGAAAAGTGGCAGTGGTTCCCAAATTTGTCTGCAAGTTTGCCCCACCTGGGGAGCTTCAAAAATCCCCTGGAATTGTGATCTAATCTGTTGGGAAGGGGTAGTCCAAGCTTTAACAAAATTTCCAAGTTTTTAAAAAATTTCCCGGGTAATTCTACTCTGCAGACAAGTCTGGGAATCGCTGCCCTAGGAGATGGGACCAAGTAGCGATTTCTATCTGCCCCAAACGAAGAAGCTACTTTTGAAAGGACAATGAAAATGGACTTGGCAAAAATATATTTCTTGCACTGAGCTGTGTAAGCATAGTCAAATCAAATCAGGTTGCCAATGTTATTATTTATTTCAGTCACTCAATGAACATTATTGAATTAACCAGGCGTTGGGCTAACAAGGAGAATGTATTCTCCAGAACGCATTTTTACCATCTCTTCATAGTGCTGCCGAGTCACCAGGACTGTTACTTGTTTTAGTCTTAAGATATCCCTGGGAATCAGTCTGGCTGTGTGTTTGAGAATACCTTCTGTTAACACTTTTCTTGATCTTAGGACTCTGTTTAATGAGTATAGATAAATTACAAATTAATTGCACCACTACCCACTCTGGTTCTCTAACACGTTTCCACGGCACGCTTCTCTTTTACACACTCCTCAATACTGTAACTTAAGTGGTTATTTCTCTGCTGACTTGTTTGATACTTGTGAAAGCCAGGGACCACGTCCTCTTAGTCACCACCATACCCCCAGTGCCCGGTCCAGTGCTTGTTATATAACAGACCCTCAATTATTATGTAGGAATGAATGAATAAAGACGAGCGCTCTGGAAGACTCGAAGCACCTAGGCCTTCTCAGCCTTCTCTCTGCCCCTCCAAACCAGAATCTCAGTCAAGGACTTTGCTAGAGTTTCCCTGAACATCTCTAACAATTGTGCCAGGTGGGTCTACGGAAACCAAGCGTGTTCCCAAGAAGCACACTCCCAAAGCCATTTAGACTATCATCTGGAAAGAGACCTGGCAAATACCTCCTTTATACAGGGGAGGAAACTGAGGTTTATAGAAACGAAGAAATAAAACGATGTGATTGACATCACATACATTACCGAATAGTACTACCCAGCATTTAAGACCCTTTTGTTGCTTCTTAGATCCATAATACCCTATGACACGAAGCTGACAATATACTTTGAGAGTTTGTTGATCCAAGTGAATAAATTCCTTGATTCTCCCAACCCATCAACAAAAAGTCCACAGTAGAAATAAGGGTTACAAATTATTGTGATACATGAAACTTGTGTGTAAAATTTTGTGATTATTGCCCTCTTTTATTCTCACTTATATTTTCACTCAAAATTATCCTACTCAATAATGCTTTAATCTTTTAAATAAGACTTTATTCTTACTAAAGTCTAGAATTTGAAATTTTCTGTAAATGTCCATTCTTAGATCACTAGGTCATGTCAACTATCGTGGGTTTGTGTATGTGTGTTTTCTTTTCTCATCTAGATACGCAACTCACAAATGAAAAGCATGCAGAGGAGAAACCCATTAATGCTATCGTTATAAATTCAGTATCCGAATTCAATATCACAGATGGACCAGCCAAGGAAACCCCCAGTGAGAAAAAACTGTCAGAATCCAGCACATCACTGTCCTCCCTTGAAGAATGCCAAGCGAAATTCTCCTACCTCCAAACTGATACTTCAGTTCATCAGAGAGACACTGATGGTATGTTTCTCAGAATCAACCTTTCTCTAAACAAAGCTCCTCAACCCCCAGCCCCTGTAAAATCATCACATATGCTGTTACCAAAAAGAAAAGTCTTTATGAATATTAAACAGGAAGACTTCGATTTGAAAACCCTGGTGAATGACAGATGTCAAGGTCACTTTGCAACTATGAGGTGCTTGGCAGATTGTTTGCTCTTGAAGCTGGGCATCAGAGGCAACGTGTTTTAAAAAGCTGGGGCGAGGTGTAATCATTCTTGCTATGGGGCTATGAAGTGGACAAAGAAAAACGGCAAACTTTTTTCTCTTCTCAGATCTGGGACTATTCAGTCCATGAGTCTAGGATGAGAGGAAATGAAGGGAGAGTGGAATGGTATTGAGATGCTGGAAATGTATAAATACAGACTGTATAAAATATCAAGATGCTTACAATAGCAACCTGTGAAACAGTGTTGGTTCCTCTAGGTAATATCATTTCCTCGGCATTCCGATCAGTGCAAACCTACACCAAACCATCCCTGTATACGACATCAAAGGCACATTCCATTTGCAAAGCCAATTTCAAACTGATTTGGTGCTATGTGATCAGCATAGTCAAGTTCAAAGTCATGGTCTCCACACCAAGGCATGGAATTGTACTCGGGTTAACTTTGCAGTAACCTTTACAAGAGACATAAACCATTCAAGAATTTTGTAGTGTTCAATATCTACATTTGCATTTAAAGAACGCTAGGAGTTTCCCAAAGGAAAATGTAATATGGTATAGTTTCTGGTTTACATTTAAATTCATATCCACTTTTTGAAAATCAGAAAAAAAATTAAATAAACTTTGTATAACAGAACTTTGGAATCACGTTAGTTTAACTCCTGGCTCTGAAATTTATTAGCTGTATAAAATTGGATAATTTTTTCCCCATCTCTGAATCTCAGTTTCTCAGTTATATAATGGAGCTAGTAACACACCATAGGGTGTTTTGAAGATCAAATGAAATAACATGTGTAAAGCATCTAGTACAAAACCTGTCACATAATAGATATTCAATTTTTGCTTTTATTGTGATTACAGTTTTAGAAAGTAAGGGGAGAGAAGATTTCTAACATATGTTATATATGTGGTGTCTTGTTCAAATGTTGTCATGGATGCTTTTGATCAGAAGCTACAGACACAATTGCCTGTGGTTGCCAGGAGATAATATGAATAATAAAGTAAACTGGAAGTAAATAATAGGGATTGGTGAGGACTATGTCAAAGTGAAGAACATATGTCTCATCGAAAGGTCGATGCCTCTACTCAGCTCCAGCTGCTTGCTGCCAAAAGGAAATACAGGCCCAGTGTTGCCAGATCTAGAGTGTTATTTGAAATCTCCAAATTTTTAACTGTTGACATTAGTTCTATTCCTTTTATGAAGCTCCAGACACTCCCAACAACACACAGCTTTGGGCCAACTTTGGCCTGTAGGCTGCCAGGTTACGACCTCAAATCCAAGATGATTCGTAAGTTTCTGGCTTTATTAGAGTTTGACACTAATCAAGAAAACAGACAATACAGGAGAGTTCTCTGCAAAAGCATTCTGACGCTAGAGCATTTTATCAGATTGTATCAGGGACGCATGGATCTTACTTGCAATGGATCTTGGCCATAATGGTCCCAGCATTAGGAATTGCCATTGCATGTAGCCACACGGCACAACCCAGTGTCCCTCCACAACCACTCTGATTTGTTGTTTCAGGGATTCTGGGGAATGGGAAGGGCTGAGGCAGCTAGCATGATACCTGAACCCTTGTATTCTTAGGGAAGGGCCAAAATGACTACTCCATTCAAATGGCAACTCATATCCAGGAGCCTTCACATAGGAAAAGAACCAATTACTCTTTCATCAAAAGATCAAAGGAGATTCACGAGGATGGTTCAATTAGATTGTTTCCTTAAGGCCTGGGCTGAGACCAATAGGATGCAAAAAATTCCAGTTTTAAGCTGACGACACATGTAGTAGCCCATCCTTCATCTCCTCTGCAATGTAAAAAAAAACCAACAAAACACCGAGGTAAGAGTTTTTGGTACCTGGATAAAAGAAAGAGTGAAAAATCCAGATTAAGGCTCACAAATAGTGTTAAGAAACTCTCATTATCCTAAAGAGCAAACATCAAGGAAATCAAGAGTTAAGTCAGACTCACTTCCTTTTAGGGAAATTTTGATAGTAATTAATTTAAGGATGCAGAAATTGAGAGCTGGGGTCATTGTTCGTACTGAGATAAATACAGAAATATCTTTCGGGAACAGCAGGGGAAACAGAAGGGAAAAGAGAAGATTGCATCCACTTTCATGTAGTTTGTGGTTAATTTATTTTCAAATGTATAAATGAGTGCATAGGAATGCATGCTTAATTGCTAATATCTATTATTTATATACATTGCCCCACTTAAAACAGGATGGAAAAACCTCACACATGCAGATTTTGTAAAATGTGTTACATCCATTAGCACAGTTCATGGTGTGTGCTCTGATGGGAATTTAAAAGGATCTTTACTGCACATCACACGCTATGTGCTGCAACATTACTTTATTATGAAATTGTGGCTCATCCTGTGTGGTCCCTTTCCCCAATAAAATGGAAAAAGTCCACAGCACTGTCTGTGTCTCTGCTTCTGTTTCTGTGCTCTGATTGCAAAAGCATCCCCATGGATAATAAAACCAGGGATGCACACGATCTTAGAAAACAGCCTCCTTAAAAAGAATCCTGAGAGTAGACCTAATTGATGTATAATTTTGAATTTGAGACGCCTCAACCAGGTGGAAGAGGAAAATCATAAATACAAGATACCTCAAAAGAATAGTCTTAATTACACCATGGACTACTGAATAAAATGATTACATTTTCTACACTGTAAATTTCATACAATTAAATGCAATAGTGTCACCTTATAAAATGTTTCAATTTTATAATTATTTCAGTTCATTTGCTCAGAAAAAAACATAAGCACAAATTTACTAAGTATCACCCAAATCTAGTCATTCTAGTTCTAAAGAATTGACTAGAATGTTAGTTGTGCTTGTCTGAACTTAAATAGATCTTGACATATTTAAATAGCTATTAAAATTGATAACATCAGGGATGATACCCCAGCTAGAGAAAGGCATGAAGTCATACTTTATTTATTCCCATTCTACATTACAGAGGGTTTTTTTCCCCCAAAGAACATAATTTTGGGAGAGTGGGAACTAATTTTTATACTTTTTGACCAAAAACTTTTAGGAATCAGTCCGAGCCATTGTATCATGAATCTCATTATTACACCAAATTCTCTATGATAGCATGTTAACCACTAACATATTAGAATTCTGGGTTTGGGCCAAGTTCTTTTTTTTTTTGAAGAAGAAGAAGAAGATTAGCCCTGAGCTAACATCTGCCACCAATCCTCCTATTTTTGCTGAGGAAGACTGGCCCTGAGCTAACATCCGTGCCCTTCTTCCACTACTTTATATGTGGGACGCCTGCCACAGCATGGCTTGCCAAGTAGTGCATAGCTCTGCACCCAGGATCTGAACTGGCGAACCCCAGGCTGCCAAAGCAGAGCACGTGAACTTAACTGCTGTGCCACTGGGCCTGGGTCAGGCTCATTTTGCCTTTTGTTTTCCTTACTTTGTTTTGGGGTGACTGGAGGAGAGATTGTGGTTTATGTGGCGTCACTTCTGGAAGAACTATTTTCTCACTGCTTTAGACAAAGATTCCCAAAGCAGCTGGAGGGACATTTCTGGAGTTGAGGAAGGCTACAGGAACTACAGTGGGCAGCTACAGCTGTCTCTTGTCCCTCCCTCCTCCTAATCCCAGGCATCATGGGGTCAAGATGGACAGCTGGGAGGGAGAACTCAGGAATTGGAGGACCGTTTCCATGAGGCTGAGCTCAGGTGCATTTTTGGAAACTCTTTGCATTGTTACCTTTTCTGCTATAATTAAACATGATTCTTTCTAATGAGGCAGATTCTCTCTCTTAATTAGCCAATCCCCAGTTGTACATTTAGCACTTCTGGAGGCTGCATTAGTCCTTCAGTGTCATTAGGGTATCACTTAGCGCGTTACAGCCTGATGTCCTGAAGGTACCCTAGGGGTGTAAAAGGAAGTGAAACAACCCTAAGAGGGTTTTGTCATGGCTTCTTGCTCACGGCCAAATTCCACTTTGGCTGTATGGCCTGCAGGTCTTGGATCCATCTTAAACCTTCTTTAATCCAGTTTAAGAAAGTAAGAAGTGGGAAAGCGAGATGGGCTCTCTGACAGCAGCGATGAGAGCCTATGCCAGGATACCAGGTGGTTCCATAAGGGAATTTAATATACAGAGAACTTGTCACCAAGGTGTCAGAAGAGGTGGAAAGCCAAGTAATGGAACGGTGAGGCCACCCAGAACTCGGCAACAGGACAGCTCTGCCACCTCTTTCCTTCGTCCCTCCCAGTCGCTAGTAGGCCACTAGTACTGACATTAGCTCATAGAACACTAGTAACTAACCTTTACTGGACATACCACTAGTAGGCAGCATTAGCAGGAGCCATAGAGAAAAAGGCAGTCAAAAAGAGATAAAACCAAGGGGAAGATACAAACACTTCCTAAGACACCACTCAAAGCAGGGAGGCGGGAGGAGAAATACCCCAGGCTTTCCCTTCCTCCCACCCTTCCACTTCCTGCCGCTGTCTCCTATCAGCTGAAGCCAGCCAGACGCCACTCGATGGAACCTGGAAGACAGACTTTAGCCGCCTTGGGAACGCAGAGCAGAGGAGGGTAAGAGCAGACAATGGAGGGAGGGCAGGATCAGGAAGCCTGTAGCGTCCTGCGCCATGCTCCAACGTGAATGGAAGAAAGTGTGAGAGTCAGGAAGGGCAGTCTGCTTCAGAGGTACGGGCTCTGGAGGAGACAGTTTGGGTTCAAACGACAGCCCCACCACTCCCAGTGTTTCTCAAACTCTCTGAGTCACAGTTTCCTCATTGATAAAACAAGAATAGTAATAGCACTCAGCTCAGGGTTATTTAAAGACCTATGTGAGATGTACATAAAGGGTGGAGGACCCCAAACTTACTTCACATGAAACAGTTGACATGTGTAACAATGGGAAAGAGAGCCCAAGCTTTGGATCCAGAAAGACTTAGATCTGAATCCTTGCTTCGGCACCTTACACTTGAAAGATTTGGGACAGTCAGTGATAATCTCCTAGGCTTAGTCCTTTCATCTAAAAAATGGAGAGCACTTTCTTTATATCTTATTGTTCATTTATTCATTCATTCAACAAAATATATGGTTTTCTTGTAACTAGGGTTCTAGTAGGGAAGAAACAAATAAACTAGTTTAATATCATTCTGTGGTCAGTGCTACAAAGAAAAAATAAAGCAGAGCGTTGTGAGAGTTTCAGCAAGGATGTGATTTAGAGGAAGGTGTTTTAAGCTAAAGACCCAAAGGTTGAGTAGGAGTTAGGTAAAGTTGTGAGGGTAGAGTATGCGACGCAGGCCAAAATAGAGCATGTGCAAAGGCCCTGAGCTAGGCCCATCCCAGGAGCTGAAATTTAGCCAGTGTGGCTAGAATGCAGCAAGTAAGGAGGAGAGTAGCACAGGAAGTCAGAGACATAGGCAGGAACCTGGTCACACAGGGTCTTGCTGGCTAGGGCAAGGATTTGCAACTTTAAGGGGAGAGTGAGTGGTTCTAAGTTATGATTAAAAATATCACAGGTGCTCATGAATTTGAGATGGGTTCATGCGGAAGCAGCATCTTAGACAGGAGGCTACGGTTGTTGCCCTGATGATGGCTGATGGTGCCTCGAACTAAGGTGGTGGCACTGGAGGTGGATAGAGAATACGAATTCCAAGTAGGAATTGGAAATCAAATCAGCAGAACTCTGCTGAGAATTGGATGAGAGGGTAGGATGAGGAATTAGAAATGACAAGAAGGAGTCCCAGTTTTCTGCCAAATTCATCTGAGTGTTCAGGAGCTGTTTCCAAGAGAAAAGCAGAGGAGGGCAAGGTTTGCAGACCATGGGGGTGCTAGGGAGATTCATAATGCAATTGGGCCTTGCTAAGTGGGGGATGTTTGAAGACACTGCAGCCGACATGTGGAGCAGGTGGTTAGACGCACGGCACACGTTTTCATATGACAGAAGGAGTGCTAATCATGGGCTATGACTTTAAATATCCTGTTTACTAAACATTAAAGCCCCAAGAAATAGTGCAGGCAAGGGAAAATAGACCCTCTCAGGAGAAGGGGAAGTCTAACACTCTTTTCAAACAGTTGAAGATTTTCCGTCGAACCGCTTCTGTTCCTTTATGCAAACAAAAATTGGCCATATGCAAAACAGTTTTGCCTGCTCGGGTAGAATTATTTAATTTGTCTTTTAGGAAAAGCATGGGACACACTTGAAAGTTTGGAAAAATCTGTTTTCAATTCATTAATGTGGCCGTGTTTTTTTGGGCAAAGTCTCCACCTTTTATAACCAAATAAAAAGAACTGACTTATAAACAGAAAAAAAAATGGGCTCTATTCTCAAGTGCAAAATACAGAAGTGGAAGGAAACAAATGCCAATTTGGCCAAAGGATTAGGCCAAAATATTTTTTGGTAAATAAAATCTAGGGTATACATCAGAAGCGGAGCCCTCCAGAGCCGGCCAACTTGAGGGGACCTTGGCAAGAGGAACTGAACCAAAAGGTTATATGCCCTCAGGAAATTGTAAGGACATTTTACAAGCAGGTTCTTCACACTCTGAGAGGAAACACCAGCTCCTATCCTCACAAGTCACCCTGCACCCAACCCGGCTTAACCTCCCAACCAAAATCTCAACCTCGCCTCTACAAAGGACAGAATCTAGTGGCATCATTTTTAGATGCTCACTGCCTGAGGACGTCTCTTGAGCCTGGAGCCTAAGGGATCACGGAGTATTTGCTTGAAATATTTTCTACTGAGAAGCTCTTCCTTGCCAGGGGCTGCTCTAGTAGCAGTCTTGGCATTGGTAAAACTTGATGAGGCTTCATGCCCCCGATCTTTGACCACCAACATGCTCTCTTCAGAAATGCACAGGCAAAATAGAGTCTAGGTACTGTACTCACTCACTCCTGAATTTTTGTGGGTGGCTTGTGGCGACTTATGAAATATGGGTGAGTTGGCCATATGCTAGAAGCTGGCTCCAAGTGAATAAAATACACCCCGTCTGGCAAAGAGATGAGTACATACATCATAAAGGTATTATGGGATATGCTGCCTAAACTATAAATACTGAGTAATGGCCACAGCACCTGCAACAATATATGGCAATTAAAGTCGTCGTAAAAGTCATGGTGTGGTTCTTTACCACCATCTTACTGGGAAGAAAGGAAAGGAGGGTGAGAGGCAGTGATGGAGGGAGGGTGAGATGGGGGAGGAAGGAAGATTCCTGTTTACCTACATTCAGGTCTAGCTTTGGGCCTTTGTACAGTGTTTCTAAGAGAAATTAAAATGGCTTTCTTTAAAACATTTTTTCCCTTTCAGAGCAAATTTCCAGGTTCTCCCTTCTCTTAAAGATTAACAAGTATATGAATAATAAAAGAAAAACCGTTTTCTGGGAAACACTGTTAGAAGTAAACCAATGGGGCTCTAAGAACACTTAGAACAGCCTACCACACGACTCAGAGAGCAAGTCTCTCCTATGGGCTCACACAGTCTCAGTCGACTGAAGTCCGAAAACTAAAAGCAAACATTCTTACTGGGAAGAAAAACAAATCCTTATGAAAATCTAACTTTAATCAATTGATAAGCCTATCAAGGAGGAGAAAGTTTGCTCCAATTCATGGTAGAATGTTACCTTCGACCATCAGCTATCTTTAGGATACTGATTTTATTGAATTAGGTGATCTATCATGGGAACATTTGCCACCCTTTACAAAACCTTCACAAGTTTCTGAGACTTTGCTAACTTAAAATAAAAAGAGAAAAGTTATAATTTTAACAAGAGAACTGCTACATCTTCTAACTAATTCCCTTTATGGAAACAAAAAATACAATAATTTATAACCCATCACAGCTGTTTGGCTTGAATTACCAATTACCTTCAATGCCTTAGAGATACTTTTCAGATTTTTGCAAGTGTGCATAGTAAATTTTTAAACCAATTTTCTTAAAGAGGATTGATAAGATTTATACCCTTTTAGGCAAATGATGACATAATTCATTTAACTTGAATATAAAAATCAAGGTTTTACATAACTGGAGGAAAAAGGAGACAGGGATTAAAAATAAAATACAATAAAAATATGATTATTTAAAAAATCATTTATATTAGGTTTCAAAATGTGCTTTTCGCTTGCATTTGAATCTGGGTGTGGCAGATTTGTGGGAATCCACATCAAACAAATAAGAAAGCCTTGTGACAAGAAGCCAGAAATTTGCACAGTCTCTCCTTGTCCCCAACTCTAATTGCTCCTGAAAGCTCCCTGCACTTGGGGAGGACTGGCGATTTTTCAGACAGTTGCAAGCTTTCCAGATAGGTGGCTAATTGTGTGGCTTCCCAGCACCTCTGCAGGCAAAGTAAATACAGGAGTTTAGAAAAGTGACAGCACTTTTTAAATAACCAGATTATGTAGAATCAATAGGAAATGCTCAGCAAGTTAATAAAGCAATTACTTAAGTAGAGTGAGTGCTGGTGTGGGGGAGGGGAGTTTGAGAGGTTAGCGATGTACATAACCCCTAATACGGATAAATAATTAAGAGTTGGCTATGAAGTTATCAAGCATCCCAGCTCACACGCCTGCCCTTCCCCAACACCCCCGTATGTGCCCCTGTTAATTTTCTTTCCTCTTCTTTAAACAGAGGAGTGCGCTTCTCTCATCCTCACCTGTCTGTTTTGCCAGTTTTGGGACTGTCTGCTGATGCTCCCGGATACGTGCGAAACGGTGTGTATCAACCTGTGCTGCCCCTCTCACAGGTATCACCATACCTCAGATGAAAGCCACTCTCGGAATGATTGTAACTGTAACTGTGATGTGGACTGCAGCCTTTTTGAATCTTGCCACGAGACCAGCGAGTGTCTGGAGCTGGCCATGGAGATTTCAGAAATCTGTTACCGCTAGTGCCACGAAGGAACCACGTGCTGGCAGACCCTTTGGCCGCACAGGGAAATTGCATTGCAATGAGACTGTGATTTCCATGTGCTGATCTGTAAGGACTGTACACATTTTTTGGATGCTATCGACCATTTTATTCTGCACCTGTCTAGGAAAGCTAGTATTGTCAACTCAACCGTCTTATTCCAAATTCCACAACCGCATGGCTCGCTGAAAAATAAGATCTTGATCACACGTGATGAACAAATCTTAAAAACCTCTTAAATGCCATAGGTACAAGATGTTTCTTGACTACAAATAGCATGCTAAACACTCTTGTTATTGCGCTCATTGGCTTGCATCATGGATTCAACTTCATTCACAAATTCAGGACAAATTAGTGCATTCTTTTAGAATTGACACACATTAGATTGTCTTTCTAATGGACTCATGCATAAACATTATGCATTGTTGGTTATTAATAATGTATTGTATAACATCATTTTGTAATTAAAAATTTATTTATACAGTCTCTTAAAATTCACTTATATGTACAGTTTAGGTAGGAAAGGGAATTAAATGAATTAGAAACCATGTTCCTGTAATTACAACAGATGTCTCTAAGACATCTCCCGTGAATTTTGAATATGATGTACTTCGAGAAAGTACTGTAATTCTAGATCATATTATTATACTTCTATGACTATGTCATAACAGGTTATGCATATTCTTAATTTGTTACAGAAAGGCTCTTCTTTATTCTAATGAGCATAAATGGGAATTATGTGCAAGTTTCAAGAAAATGACCCCAGATAATCAATTCTTCATTTTCCTCATTTCTGTTGGGTACAATAAGCAAGAGGACATTAAAACAGAATCAGTTCATTTTACTAAACTTTATCATTTGTATAGGCACCCAAAAGAAATACATGTGCAGGGATGTATTCAGCACTGACTTTCCTAATACAGCATGTGCTTCAAAAAGCATAATTTTGTTTTCTTTTTCTGATAATTAAAGTAATTCATAATTATGTTAAGCACTTCTTCATACTTACAAAAACAGTTTTTTAAAGATTTGATTAAAAACTTGGAAAGTGATTTTCAACTCAAACAAATTATAACAAATAATTTGGGAGGAAAACACATGTAGGTTGAAGTTACTCTGGAATCTTCTCTACTTTTGGTAGGCATGACTTTACTCATTAATGTGTGCTTATATATTCCCATGGAGATATCTCAATATATTCATTGAGTATAAAAAAGCAGAAGATATCAATATCAAAACAAAGGACATGAAAGTGAAGTAGAGACTAGAAGGAACTTTTTGCAATCTAGGCAAACGACGACAAATTCCAAAATATCTGTTTTTGCCTGACTTTAGTAATTTCAGGCAAAAACACTTGTTTTGTTTCTATAGCAAACTAGCACATTTTTCTGTGCTGCAATAAATTCCTCCAAACATTGAAAATTAGTAACCTTTAAAAAAATATTTTTAAACTGCCTCTAAAAATGTATCTAACTGCTCCTGTCTTGCTCCTGATAGCACAGTGCATCCGTGGTTAATGCCGGCTTCTTGTCTATCATTATTCACAAGCCACAGAGCATGAGAGTGTCCCACCCTCCTTTGGAAAGCAGTCTCTCTGCTTTTCAGAAGCTCAGACAGCTCTATATGCTACGCATGGAACTCGCAGATCATTAGGAGGGAAAAAAAGTAGAGTCTCAGAAAGGAAGGGAAACTAGGGCTGTTCTTATCCAATATGCTCGTTATTCACAAGAGAAAATAGAGGTCCCAGGAACTGACTTATCCAAGACTGTTTAGTGAGTTAATGGCAGTGTCGGGAACTCTTACTGGAGGTCTAACTTTCTAACTTACAGGGCACTGCTCCATAGTTCTCCACTTCTTAGTCCAGCTGGGACACAGTGGTACGGCTGTTCCAATGGTTCAAATGTTAAATCCCTTAGCCTGGCTCATAAACAGTTGCTACCTTGAACCTCCTTAGTGCTTTCCCCATACTTCCAGAGATCCTGGCCCCTCTCTAAGCACCCACCCCACCTTCCCATGGTTCAGCCATGAAAAGAACCTGCAGAGAGTCTCTGGAATCCTGTCCCAATAATATGGTATCTGGTGTCATTGGTCAAGCCATGCCATACTGGTGTTCAATATTTTGACTATCATCCCCTTATTCTTTCTGGTCTATATACCCTTAAATCGTGCAAAGATTATACATTTCAAATGTGACTTGAATGCTTGTCAATTAGAGACGTAAAAATTGCCAGGTCCTATTTTATAAGGTGGTCAGAATACTACAAGGTCTTTCTGTGGCCTCTCTTTCCATGGTCTATTAACTTGTTCCCCACTTCCAGAATTCACCATGCTATCACAGAAAGGGTCGGTTATACAAAGTGTGAAATTTCTTTTCTTTATAACCAATAATAAAACATCATCCTTTTTGCAAACATGAATGGCTCTTTCAATTGAATTCTTACACAATAAAACACACGCAGCTGGGAAAATACAATTGCAGAGGTAAGACAGATGAAAAAGGAATGTGGTTATTGATTAAATATAAATATCAGAATCTGAGAAAGCTCAATTTTTTTCCGGCAATGATGAAGGCCTGTGATTACAAATAAAGATAATGTTATTCTTTAAGGTGAGCTTATTAGGGAACAGAGTATTCCTATTTAAGGAAGTAGACTAGACAAAAGAGATTTGAGAATATACAACCTTTGTAGGGAGTGGAGAACAGAGATTTTTTTTTCCCATAGCAATATAACCAGATAGTTACATTGTCTTTGCTTTGCTCAATGGATTTTTATAAAACCCTTGCTTCTCTAAAACACTACAAAATATGGAAAGAAATCAAGTTACATTTAACTTGCTAATGAAATTTTCCCACTACATAAGCTGATAGGCCTTCAAAATTAATTATCAATGCTGGACAAAGTTAATATAGTGAAAGTCGCTACAGTTTTTTCCAAGGGAGTAAGAAAACATATTCAGGCAGAGAAATTTTACAAATAGGAAACATCATGTGGTGGAAAATTAGCATTTTTTTCAAGGATAAATGTGTAGGTGGAAGTGTTAGGAGGACAGAATTCTTTATCCAGTGCCTTCAAATCACTCCATCTATAAAATGGAGCAAAAGAATAATATGCACACTTACGTAAATTGGTTTGACTGTAAGACTTTTGCCCATCGCATGCTAAGTTCCTCCAGGCCACACGAACTGATGACCTGTGATGAAATCTAAGTACTTGTTTGTTGGGTGTTCTTTGAAGATAATATCTGAGTTAAAATCTAAACACTTGCCATATATAGCCTCATGTGAGCTATTTAGAAAGGCAAAGTGGATGCAGAACGATTTTCTAGTGATTATAGTCAACATGGGACTAAAATTGTATCATTGGGCTCCTCTACAGAGGAAGACAGCTCCTCACATTACTGGGAAGGAACCCAGACTGTAGGGAGGGGGTGAGGAGTGGAGGTAGGGGCAGGACCTGCATCATTATTTGCATAAAAGTGCCACCTTCTGGTCTACCATCTTGATAGACTTCACAGTCCTGCTTTTGCCACTATGTCTAAAGTAATGGTTCTCAATTAGGGGTGATTTTGCCCACTCCCTCCTGGAGGGGACATTTGGCAATGTCTGGAGACATATTTGGTTGTCACAATGGAAGGAGGGAGGATGCTAGTAGCATTGAGTGAGTAGAAGCTAGGAATGCTACTAAACATCCTACAATACCCAGGACAACCTCTAACAACAAAGAAAGAGTTCTGAAAGTATTTCTATTAGTCTCCATGAACCATCACCAAACTGACCTTAAAAAACTGTTGGCAACAGGGTTGCCTTATCAATAGATAAAATAAAGGATGCCCAGGTAACTTTGAATTTCAGATAAACAACAAATAACATTTTAATATAAGCATGTCTCAACCATCGCCTGTGACATACTGATGCTACAAAAATGATTCCTCTCTTATCTGAAATTCAAATTGAGCTGGTTGTCCTACATTTCTATTTGCTAAGTCTAGCAGCCCTTGTTCAAAAGACTCCACAATTTGAGAAGGAGTTTATGGAAGTGGCGACCCTTCAACTCCCTCCCTGCCTCCAAGAGAGGAGGAGTTGTTTATCTCTTTGTTCAGAGGTCAGGATGTTCATTGCCCTACATTTTAGCGCAGTGTAATTTAGGTCGGGGGAGCCTGGCTTCAACAGCAGCTCCGAAGCAGGACGCTCTCACTTTCCCTTCTGCCCCAGGCTTACAGAGGGCCTACTGCCTTAGACTAAGTTGGCCACGGCTCCTTCTCTCCGCTTCACATCTCTGTTGGCAACTGAGAAGGCCCCTCAGCCAAGGGCTATCTTTATTCAAGGGGTAGAAAGCAGAAGTCCTCACTTAGGCCTTGACATCTAAACCACATTTTCTGATTCAGTCTTGGTCAGAAAGACCCATCTTGGTTGGTCTGGCACAGCTATAAGGGAGAATTTTCCCTTATCTAGCTACTTTCCTTTCCATAAAGCTCCCTCTGTCAAAGCTCTGTGGGGAAAAGGGGTGAGTAGGAGGGTCAGACTGAGCATTTCTTGGACCTGGATTGCAGTACCACCTCCTAACACTCAACTTCACCGTGCACTCTTGTTACACTGCTAGGAGTGAACCAGAGAACCCAACATCTACCCTTCACCAAATTATTCTTATTTATTTTACAGATGAGAAAAATATCAAGTACAAAATATTTGATTAAGTACTTTATTTACATTATTGCAATTCTCTAAACAGTCCTGTGAAATAGGTTCTATTACTATTCCTCTTTTCCTAGGAGAAATAGAGACAGAGAAATTAAATCACTTGCCCAAGGTCACACACCAAATAAGCAATTGTCACAAGGTTTGAACTCAGATCTGTACAATCCAAAGCCCGTGCTTTGAATCACAAAGTCTAAAAGTTGTACGCACGAAAAATGATCAAATCAAGATAAAGTTCAAGTATTCATTTCTAAAGCAAAAGTAATCAGAAAAATATAATGACTATATTCAAAGGAAACCACTCACTGATAGCAAATGTTTTAAAAGTTGTTATCCTGGGCAATGATTAGAATTGGAAACATCTTCAAAATGCTTTTAAGATATGTAGCCGATAAGTAATAAATGCAAAGTCAATGTATTGCAATTTAATCTTTATGTCACTAGCTTTGCCCCATTCATCTACGGTTCTGAAGGCTTACCTTTTAGCATTCCATTTTAGCAGAGCCACTTTGATCTCTGCCTCAAAGTCCATCCCGCACACAGCACCCAGGCCAGCCCCTCATCAGCATTCCGCGAGAGGTTCTAGGAGCGTAAGTTGTTTTTAATCAGTCAACAACACTACAGTCAACGAAATGCATTCTGATACTTAGACCTTTTATCTCAAAAGCTATGCAGAAACCAAGGTCACAGTAACCTCTTTTATGGTTTATTGTTCCTCAAATGTACTTAGAGTGAATTTACAAAGCCACAACTTATTTTGTGGATACAGAGCTTTCACTAGGTTCAGCACTCTCCAACATCCTCTTTGTTTCCTCTTTCAGCACTTTCTGCCTATGTAGTCCTCATTTAATATCAAGTTCCCGTAAATTTTTAAAAAAATAAAATAAGAATATTGAACACGGGTCTCCGAATAGCTAAGCTACTCATCATTTGTAATTGAGGCTCTTCGGAAAGCTGCATTAACGTTTCGAATCACTTCTGCACAGCTTTGCAATACTGGGTGCAGGTCCCTGCAATGGGGGAGGAAGGCAAGAAGGCAGGATGGTGCCAGTGCTGTCACTCTGCCATTGTTACAATCAAATAATTGCTGATGTGGGCAGGGCAGTAAACCACTCAGCTCAGGAGGTGATTTAGGGAACTACCCCTGGGAGGTGAGGTGGAGACCGGGTTCTACATGTTGGAGAAGGAGCTCAACAGATCCACAGACCTCATGAAATTGTCTCTTAGCTCACATTTTTGATGACTCTCATTTTAAGCAGTAATATGCCTAAATTCATAGTTTTTATCTCCTAGTCACATTTTTACAATAATGTACCAGCAATGTATTAGAAATAATTTGGAGAATAAAGGAGTCTACGTAGCACCAAAAGCCACTGTGCGTGCTACCAATGATACTTGCACAATATACCAGGAAACGCTAGGTTAGATGAAAGCAAGAGGGAGACCAATTAGGTGGCCAGTCAGAAGGCTATTGACCAACTCCAGGCAAGACCTAGCAGAGGCCTGGACTAAGGTGGTGGTTGTGGGGTGAGTGGTTGTGGGGGAGAAAGAAGAGGCAATAGTCATATCTAGAAAGGGCCTTGAATGCTAGTTTGCTGTTGATTTAGGAGCAGATGAAAAGACACTGAGGAGTAGCAGGGGATTATACGATTAAAGTTGTGTGGGAGAAAGACTGACCATGCAGCAGCGCACAAGACAAATTAAGGCAAGGAGAGACTGGAGACTGACAAAGGAGCATTTGCAATAAGGCATGGGGTGATGAAGGCCTGAAATAGGATGGTGACAGCGAAAACAGGAGGAAAGAGATGGATGGGAAAGAAATTAGAAAAGGACCATTAGTCCTTTCTCAAACTCTTCTTATTTTAAGACTCAAATATTCCCTACTGTCTATCACATATATGAGTCATGAAGCCATTATTTTCATTAGGGAAGAAATGAGTTGGGGAGGGGGGGGAGTTCTATTCCAAGTGGAAAGTCAAGGTATATTTTTAGCTACATTAAGCCAGCCTTCTGCTGCTCTGCACACTGATGTAATTCCAACATAAAACATAATCTATAATATTCCAGGGGAACAAATCCAATTCTCGGTCATATAAATTTTCATATAAGTCCATCACAATTCATTCCCAAAACATCTCATTCTCTTTGAAAGCTGGAGCTGCAGCAAGTGATCAAAAAGAGTGGTTTAAAATTGCTCTGGAATTTCCAGAGATGCTAAATCTAACTTGCCTGTGGTACAGGACCAATCCCCCAAACTTTAAATCAGAGGTAAAGCATTTTATGCTTTAAAAGATATATTCCTCAAAGTTTATCACAGTGTATTAAAGTCAAATGTGAGTTATCACTTACCAAATCTGGAGCTGATGTCTCCCCTTGATTACCTAGGTAGGCGAGAATAAGTATCTTCCAACCAACATATTTTTTACCTTTTCATCTGCCTCTTGCTATTTGCAATAGAGTGAAAAATAATAGCCAAGGAGTGACTTTGCAGGGTTGGACGAAGTGCAAATCCCATCAGACTATAGCCTAAATTGTATTCCAGGCCTCTGGCAAGTTCTGCTGCATGGAGAAGAATAATGGAAACTGACTTCTCAATAGCTGGATTGGTCCTATAGGAATAATCAGGGAAAATTCATCTGATGAACTTTCAGCACATTTGCATTGGCTTAGAACCCAGTCTATATATTATTGGTCATGGCTGAAATTTCCCTCTCTGC